CTTTCAAAATAAAGGTGTCTTGTATTCTGAAAATACGGTATTTGGCTTTGTAAATGTAATATGACATATTTCTTCAAGCTGATAATTATTAGAAGATTATTATTACATTGATTAAAAAATGATTTAAGTTCAGGATAATTATTCTAAACTTATTACAAGATTAATAATAATTGATTAGTGAATTTTAATTGCTTAAAACAAAACCAGATTTTACTATGATATTGGAAGTAGTTTTGCTACACATGGTTTAATTTGTGTGTGTGTGTCACACACACACACACCTATTTTTGTGAAGTGTGTATATAATTTTCAGTTATACATGTATTTGAATTTTTAACTTTTTCCAAGAATTTGGAGAAAATATCTTGCAATTTTGCTTGTGGACTTTTCTTAACCACCCTTGGAACATATGAAAGAAAAAAAGACACAAGGACCCCAGAAATAGGGGGTCAAATGGTTATGGAATCTCTTAGATGTAGCTGGTCTTCTTGAAATTTAATAAAGATACAGGCTTTGACCTTAATGTTTTTAAAGTATTAGTAAATGGTTTCCAGATAACTTTTTTTTCCTCACTAGCAAATTCAAGACACTCATAATAAGTTCTTAAGTCTTGCTGTTAATTTTTTATTTTCAAAAGAATTTGATCTGAGAACTTTTTTTTTTATACTCGTGGACTGAGTAAAAAGAGGTAAAAAAAAAAAAAAGAGGGATTGTATAAAAAACAAATTACTGCAGAAAATTGTATTTACTTTGAAGTGTACAAAGAAGTGGTGATTTTTAATTTCTTTTTATTTCTGTACCAGTTGCAACGAGAAGGGACACATCGCTCGCAATTGTCGTTCCACTCGTACCGGTAACAAGTGCTATCATTGTGGCGAGTTTGGCCATATTGCTCGTGATTGTGAATTGAAAGCCTAACCTCTCCTGCCTACCCACGTCACAGCCTCTTGAATGTGTTGGTCGTTTGGCACATGTGAGATCCAGCTCCTTACACCCTAGCTGCATCTGGCCGAGACAAGCTGGTCTTGAGCTGTGGATGTCTTGAATTTTGATGTTGGTGAGCTATTTGTCATCTACATTGGTATCTTCTGTAGGGGTGGCTATTCAGAATTTTCAGTAGGGGGCAGTATCCAGCAGTCTGTAGAGTTTTACCTACTGGTTTCAAGTTGTTTGTTAAATCTTTGCTTAATTCCATATGTAATTGTAACTGTCTTGTAGATCATCTTTTATCACATAGAAATAAAACTGTCTCTACCAAAGTTTGTGTTAACTCGCAAACAGCATTTAACTTTTCGAGAATTACCATTGGTAATGATAAATTTGATACAAGTCAGAAACCCAACGTAGGAGTGGACTTGACTGCCCTCTCTTAATGACCTTGTAACAGTGAAACCAACTGAAATTTAGGCAGGAGTGATGTGTTGTGATGAAGGTTGTCGCCGTGGGAGAAAGGAGGTTTTTACCCTTTATTGCCACTTGTGTAGCATAAATCTTTGTAATCAATTGGGTAACAGCTGCCCATTGGTAGCATTTAGCCTAACAGATCTTGTTTGAATTTTATTTCATCTCCACCAGTAATTTCTTTATGGCACATTACTATTCTTTTGTGTAAGACATTGTAATTCACTTTACCTTTGTTGAGTGGTTAGGTGCATGCATATAAATGTGGAGAGTTACTCTGATCTTCAGTTTCAAATAGATCATTAGCTAGCTTTAGAACTCTTTTTTTATATATATATACACATAAAGAGTTTACTTGCTGAATGTAAAATTAGTTCCAGAAGACACTTTTCAAGATGTCATTGTTTCAAGTGGGAGATGCCTTTATGTTGGAGTGAACATACTTTCTATTGAAAGCTTACATTTGTAATGACTAAGCTCTTTTTAAGTTAAAACTACTGAACAGTCTTTTGACATAATTTTTCCTGACCATTAATCAGTACCATTTTAAGTTTCAAAATCTATTTTGAAATAAGTGCATTGAAAAAAATATTAATATCAATAAATTATAACAAATAAGTTACAGGAAGTGTAAAGGATCATGTTAATTTTAAGTAATATTTAAAAAATGCCAAACAAAGGAAATATTGTTTACTTCAAAGTTAAGTTTGGATTTTTCATAGTGTGTGCATGTCAATAAAATACTCATTTCAAATAATGTTCTTACAACACAGTATTTTAAAATACTTAATTTATACTACTGTATTTAAAAAATACATATATTTATGATTAAAAATGAAATAGTGTTTCAGTTAACGTACTAATTTTAAGTAGTGGTAATTTATGGCAAGTGACAAGGCGACATTTTATTGTAGATATGGTCATCTGCCAGTTGTTTTTTTTATGTTTGTTTCTGTAAGTGCAAATAAAAAAAACTTTTATAGAGAACAGGAAACAAATGAAGGGGGAATATGAGCAATATTTTCAGAAAGAAACGTTATATTTAAAGCTTTCCTTTTATCTCACTAGTAGGTGATCTTCAGAACTGGGGGCTGGGTGTGGCCTGTTGGTTATTGTGCCTGACTGTGAATCCAAGTGTCCATGGTTCACGCTTTGTTGCTTCAAAAATCATGCCCTGCACTAAGGGGGCATGGGTGTGTTGTGTTAAAAGAGTGGTGATCAAAGCCCAGGAGTTAGTTGTGGGTGCAGTGAGTTCAAATTTAAGGATAGATAATATAGCTATTTCTTAGCTTTGTACAAATTTCCAAACCAACTTTCAGAACTGATTAAATTGTGTTTGCAAAAATGGTCTTCATACCTGATTTTTGATGAAGTTATCTTCATGAATTAGCAATTAGTATAATAAGAACCAATTGCAATTGGGTACAGAATGTTTGGTAATAATTGTATTGGTCAAAATTATTATAAGATTGTTTCGTGGTAGCCAACAGAAATGTGCTCAGTGCTGCAAAAAAGTGTTTAATGGTAACCAGTTGAAACTATCTTCAAACTTAACCAAAATTCATTTCTTAATAGCCCAATGAACTTTTTTTTTTAAATAAAATATTAAGGTAATATTTTGCTAATTGATTTGTAAGGACGAGGTTCAGCCAAAATAATTCATACAAGAGCAACATATTTTCTTTCATTTCATTTGTTTCTGGCTAAAAAAAAAGTAATTCTGATGAGATAAGAAAAGCTGTTACAGTTACAGCAAGTTTTGCCAGTATAATTTCATATGTTCAGGGATGAGAATTGGCAGGTTTATATAATTTCTGTTGTCAACTTTGTCACCAACCTAACTAATTCAAATTCAGTGAGAAAAATGTTGGGTGGGGGGATTTTACAACTAGTAGGCTTGATTAGAGATTGCCTTGTCAGCTTTGATGTTTACTCGGCTGAAATTTATGTATGAAGCTCTTTTTAACCGACTAATTACAAATCTTAAAACTTCTTTTGAAGACAAAGGTATTCAAACACCACATAAATGCAAAAACTCCTTCAAATGCAATGGCGGGTGATTGAATGGGATTATCATAGAGGTAGGCTTTAAATTTTTTATCATTATCCTTAGTTCTGTACACTTTTTTTTGCTCATTTACTTAGTACTCCATAGAATAGACATTTTCCTTTTATTGGTCATTATTTTTGTGTGAAAACATTTAGATGAAGCCATTTTATAGAGAGAGACACAATTCAAAGAACGTTGAGGGGGGTGTACATTAAAATTCTCAAAATTGTTTTCAATAATTAAAGACATACAAATGAAAACAAATTACAAAGGTATCAGATTTCACTGACTTCAAAATAATTTTCAGTCTTAAATTATATATGGGAGGGCAAAATTGTGGGCCGAAATTACACTTGAGAAAACAATCCACACTTATATAACTTTGCCTACTTGTTTGTTTATTATTATTAGGAAAAAGAACTTAGTATCATTATCTCTTCTAAAAGACTTTTTTTTTTTAAATAACTTGTCAGTAATTTGACCTTATGGAAACTGATTTGTGTAAGTGTTGCCTAAATATTTAATGAAATAAATTTGTATTTCACTATTTTAATTATTGCAGCTATAAACGTGTATGTGGTATTTTTCTAAATATTTTATGAAATGACCAGGTTGTGTGCTACACAATCTGTAATTTTGATCATTGGAAATTGAATTGAAGTGGCAGAAGTCTAATGTAGTGATCATCATAGTAAATAATATGAACATGCAGTATTTCAAAATGACATCAGAGATCTCACTGATCCCTCTGTCTTCCAGAGGTCTTTGTAATTTTGATCATTGGAAATTGAATTGAAGTGGCAGAAGTCTAATGTAATGATCATCGTAGTAAATAATATGAACATACAGTATTTCAAAATGACATCAGAGATCTCACTGATCCCTCTGTCTTCCAGAGGTCTCTGGTCTTTATGGGCTGGGACCCAGGACCAGCCAGAGGTTTCACTTGCTGTTCTCATCCCTGTATGTTATTAACTGCCAAGTACATACATATTTTGCATGTTTGAAAAGAAAATTTTTGTTTTTAAAAAGATCATTTAAAAGAGATTTGAAATATCTATTAAATCAAACAATTTATAAATTTTTTGTGTGTGTGTGACTTGGTGTGACAATACACGAGTCACTATGTAATGTAGGTGAGATGGAGTGTAAAGTTACAATTTGTGAATGAAAAACACCTTCAGTGATGGTATGTTAAAAATTACCTTATTTTGGGGCATGAATAAAAGAGTTTATAGCTATTATTGGTAAATTACACACCTTAAAGTGTGAATATATATATATAAAGATATCTTAGTCATTGTAAGAAGAAGAAAAATGCACTCAAATGCAATGGTTTCATGTGGTCCCAGTGAAAGTTGTGTATTGATAATGTTGGCCACTTTTTTTTTCATTTAACAGTTTTAACCATTTATCTGAATTTATCTTGTAACAGCATTGATACAGGATAAAATGTTGATGTGGTAGAATATAGATTAACTACTAATGTTAAGTTAAAAATCGTACATTGTGTTTGAAGTAAAAGAGATCTTAGAATATAATTTTGGTGGGTTATAAATTAAAAACTGATGAATATAAGTTAAAAACAGTACAATGGAATGTAGAATAATTAATGGTGGTAAGTCAACCATAAAATCTGTGTGAAAGAGATAATATGGCTGTGTTGGCCTATGCAACCCACGTATAGTGTTTTAATTAGATATATGTATTGAATCATTGTTTTGGTAGTGCGCAGTGTTTGAAATTACTTGGTTATGTAATAATCTGTATTTGGCAACCAAAGCATTATATTTGATTTTTGTTCTGAATTGCAAGAAATTCTCAAGTATCTCTGTTGAATACAGTTTTCTATTTCAGGATATTTGTATTCATACTGTTGTGTTATTTATGCTGCTGTTCAAAATTAGTGTTCATATTCAATTTGTTAGAATGTGTATGATGAACATCTGGAACTGTCTCATGTTTAAAAAAAAAATCAAATTTTAATTTGACTTATGTTTGACCATTAATTGATAAAAAAGACTAACACAGTGGAAAATGTAGTCATTTTGAGTTTGAAATTAAAACATTACCATAGCTCTGTATGATAGTATTGAAAGCTAAAGTTTCCTGTAGTAGTTGGTGAGGATTCTAGTTTTGTTTTTGTTTTAATAGACATTTTCTCCTTATGAGAATAAAGTTTTATGGAAAGTAACAGCTGCCTCATTTCAGTGTTTGATTTAATGAAAAATCATAGATGTGTCGCAAAGATGTTTATATATCAGACGTTACACACCAAATAGTTGAAAGATGTTTATATGTAATAGAAGATACACATCAGAGATGTTTGTATACCGTAGAAGAAACACACCAGAGATGTATATTTACACACACCAAAGTTCAGCATAAAATGTGTAAAGAGAGACATCTGATGTGTGTGTTTAGCATAAATGAGATTCAGTGGAAATAATGTAACCTAGTACATCAGGCAAAAATATTTTATTTAAGTCAATTTTTACAATACTTCAGCTTCATCAGGGCTGTTTCTTTTTTACTCTTAAAATAGCAACAAAAAAAAATCTGCAATATAATAATGTCTGTAAAGCAAACACAAGTTTATGCTCTAAACTTTATTGTCCAAGGGAATTGTAATGTTAAATATGGTTGGTACATTTTGGGTTTCTTATAGTCTAAAGTATTCCCATGCTGATTTTTATATTCTCATCTTAAAAGTATTTTTGTGTGATTGTAAATATATTTTACTAGATTTAACTTCAAACCTTCAAAAACCAGCTTTTAACTGCTGTACATGAACTTACAAAATATCATCTACTTAAATCTATTCCAGCAGTACTTCCACAGGTCCACTCTCTTAGTACAATGATTATGCTAAGCATCCACTTATTTACGTCTTAATCTAATGATACCCGTGGTTTCTGTATACTGTGATGGTTTGAAGTTTATTAAACATCATATCTTAGTTAGTGTGGAAGAAACGGCAGTCTTTTGTTTTGCCAGTGGCCAGAAAGTTTGTGGCTAAGCAATGACTGAAGGGGAGTACACGATCATTCCTGTGATTCAAAACTGCGCAATGGAAATAGAGCATGTATATTAATCATAATGAAGTAAGGAAATCATGAAAATTTTGTTATCAATCTGTTTTTAATTTTGTTGTTACTTGAGTCTTTTTCTTTAGGCAACATGTGATAATTTTTATGTCAGTACATCATTATAAGTCGGAGTCATACTTTTGATTATTTATTCATATGTTTATGATCCTTGTTGTACTTATTTTGTTTTGCCTTCAGATTGTTTCACTTTTAGTTTGCTGACATGAATGTACAGCTAATGTATTTATCACATTTGATGGTAAATAATGACATGCTCCATTGTTCTATAACATTGGTTTCATTGATATTCTTGGTTATAGTGTTTTTTTATTATATTATTAATTTTATCTTTATGAAGATTACTTTGCATGGTTAGCTTAACCCATTAACTGTGGATGACGGATATTTCCGTCATTGAAGTTTATGGCTCAGCTGCGAATGACGGAAATATCCGTCAGTTGCACATATATAACTATAACTATGCAAATGACAAATTACCGTTTTATTGTGATTGATGGCAACTCAGTTTTAATAGTTAGTGAATGTAGCATTATAATCATAAGGTTTAGTTTTCATCTGTTGATTTGTTTAGGGTGTCTGTCAGATTTTTGTGATAGTGAGTTGGATGTGTAAGGTCATCAACTTAGGTTAAATTGTCATTGTTATGGTGTAGCTTAGATTTATTTGAATTTGAAAAGTTATTATTCATATATTTAAAAAAATAGTTTGTTACTACAGCTAACTATATTGAACAATTTTTATTCATTAACTGCTCAACTCTAAATATCCCTTTAAACCTATTAAATTAATTAAGTTTGTGTGAAAGAACCACTTCGGAGAGTTGATACATTTACTTGAATTAACTTGCCAATTTCAGTAAAATGTTCTCAGAAGAATTAAGTAAAACAGTTATAAACTGATGAATTCTGAGTAAGGATAAAAGTAATCTCAGACGTATACGAGTTGAAGAAAAGAGGATGTATACAGTGTCTTAAAGTATTCAAAACACATTTTTCTTATCCTTTCCATTTTTACTTTTTTTTTTCTCTCTTACGGCTATCAGTGTTAATGCATAATAATTAGTGTAGTGGCAGCACAGTACTTTGTGTGGATTTTCCAGTTATACTGTAAGAGTTATTGGGTAATTGTCTTTCTACAAATAATTCATTTTATCCATTGACTTTCAGTAATATAATATCCAAAGGTCTGATATAAAATATGGAGTTTATTTCTATATTGAACCATAATCAAAGGTCATGGGTATCTACTAGTGTTGGTCAACTTCTGGAAAATGCTATGCAAGCAGTTGGTTACAAGCTAACTCTCATGCTGCAGCACTAGTTTCATCTTATAGGCCTAGCTCTTTTGGTGGAGTACTATTTTCAAACCAGTAGGGCTGGGCTTGTATGTTTTCCAGTTCACTCATTGCATGGCCTGGTGGGTTAGGGAGATCTATGTGCAATCTGAGGGTCACAGGTTTGAAACTCTGTCATTGAAAATGGGAGCAATCAATTCCACTGTACAAGTTGGTGGTGGATAGTGTTGATTAGCTGCCTTCCCTTCTATCACTGCTAAATAAGGAATGGCTAGCACAGATAACCCTTGTGTAGCGTTGCACAAACTTCAAAACAATGCAAACCTTAAGTTTAATAGGAAACTTCCAAATTTTGAAACAGTGAATTTGTTAAAAGAAATCTTACTCATGTTATAACTTGTACATTCAAAATGTGTATTGCTGAATTCTGTTGGTTAATTTGAGGCTTCAGAATAGCAGCTATCATCAACTTAAATTATTTTATGGACTTTAAAAAGGTTAATTGTGTTACACATTTGGTTTTACTCAGAGCCAAAGCCCTGAGATACTTACTGCCTTCTGCAAAATGTAACTGTTGAGCATTTCATTCATGCTAAGAGCCGCTCAACAATAATATATGGTAAATCTACATTTTTATTCTTTAAGTTAATGATAGTATTAGTTCCTAACAATTTAGTGTAGAATCTACTGATTGCAAAACTATAATTTGGCATTAATATTATCGTGCCTGTTCTCCCATCATTTTACAAGTAAATGTTTGCTTTGCCTGTGTGTGAAATTTTTGAAATGGGGAACAAACAAATGTATATAAACTCTGCTTGATATTAAATATATTTGTCAAGTGATGTCCTAAATACAGTAAAACTGTTAGTTTCTTTGACACATTAAACTTGGATTTTAGGGGTGATTAGTATATTTAACATTTAATTGATATGACTATCAATGAAAGTACTGTCGGGCTCATTGCATTCAGAAAGTTTTTAATATAGTTTATTTCATCTAGAAAATTATAGTATTTGCTTATAATCCTACAAGCATGATCAATAATTAACTAAATTTACTTTAAATGCCTTAGAAACAAAACTAATTAATAGTGCATAAAATCCAGAAAAAAAGTTGGTTTATGATATACACACATTTGAAAGATATCTTGTACATTATAAAGAAAGAGTATCTAAGAATGACAGTTTACTTTCAACAGAAAATTCTACGTTTGGATGATTGGTATTCACATATTCCAAAGATATTTCAGTGTGATTGTAATTTTAAAAAAAGCAATAGTCATCAGTTTGTCTTTTATAACAAAGTGCTTTTTTTTCCATATGTAATTTCCATCCAGAAGTTGGAAGTTATTGTTGTTGGTTTTTTTCAGTTTTTGACATATTTATGATGGTATGTCATTATGTTTTGCGTTATTCCTTTATTGTTTTAAAATGATGTCATTTCAAATAATGTTTCTTCCTCCATAATTTACAATGGAATATTCCATATTTCAAACATTTTATTTTCTTTGTGTGAAAAAATGTAGCCAAAGTTAGAATCATTATTGTTATGGGATATTGTATGGTAATGGTATTCTGAGAGGATTCCAATGGAAAATGATAAACAGTAAACATATGGAAATGTGTAGAGAATTGAAATATCAGGAGAAAGTATGGAAGATTTGGTGTAGAACAAGTTTTTGGAGAAGAGACTCGGTAATAAAGTATAATGGAATCATCAAAGATGAACTTTTGGTAACTGATGGCAATAGAACAGAAAATATCTTGAAGGTAAGGAAGGAAAATAATTTGTGGAAACAGTTGCAATGTTATGTTCTCAGCATCAGAAAGGCAAGAAAAAAGAAGCTGATTAGATACACAGAAGAGACAGAATTAAATTGGAATGAAAAGATGTGAAATTAATTAGAAAATTAACGAAAACAATGAAGAAACAAAAAAAAACATTAGATTTGCTGCAGGTAAATTTCGAACAGAAGAGGAAAGATAAGAAGACACATTAGATGCAATTTGAAGCAAAAATTTGCGAGTTAAAAGAATAAGAACCTGAAGAAAGAATGATAGCATCTTAATTGCACACCAAGTGTTCCACATGCAACTGCCAACAATATGTATGGTTGAGATGCTATTATGTTCTTACTGAAAAAACGTATTTTAGAGCCAGTAAAGAAACTTTTGTAAAAATTCGGTTTTATTGTAATTCACACTAACAAATGATGAAAAAATCATGCTTTGCCAGAATAAGATATTTTATACTTTTATCACATATGATGAAATTATAAAATAGAAAGAAAACAAGAAACATCGGACACTTTTTAAACAATGACAAAAGTTGGAAATAGGCAAAATATATTCGTTCTGCATGAAATATGTGGGTAACATCATAATGATAGCAGATTATCCAGAGAAAGTGAAAATTTTGATGGTTAGATATCATACGTAAATCAAATATGGTTTATAGAAGGAAAAGGAGACCAATAAGGAATGAGAAAAGAGAGTCAAGAAGGTAGAGGTGATTAGAAATGGATGTGGAATTTTGGATTAACAACAAGAACACTATGTAAAATGTATTAGATTATAACACAGTAAGTGGTAGAAACAGCATAGTGTTGCTAAAAAAAAAAAAGATGGAGTGCATGATATGGAAACAGTTACTTGTTTAAAAGCGTAACAAATTTAATTTTCAACTATGCAACAGGAATGTGTGGTTGGATAAAAGAACAGAATTAATACTATTAAGGTCCATAAAATGTACATTGGGTTTAGGCAGATGAAAGTAGGAAGAACCAGT